ATTCTGTGTGTTTGTAAATCACAACTAGTCTTACATCTGCTTCAGAAAACAACCATGCATAGGTGTTAGAAACATGAAATACAATTAGATATATAACAGGTCTGTATGTGTATACAAACACTAACATCCCCCGCAAACACACCCCTGTTTTCATACACTAACACTACACACAAACACATTGCTGTACTCAAACACTGACACTACAATAAACATACCTCTGCATTCAAATGCCAGTATTAAAGAGAAACACACTCCTGCATTTAAACATTAACACTCTACACAAAAACAGTCTTGCCTGCAAACACTTACACAACACACAAACACAACACTGCATTCAAAAATTAGCACTGCAAAAACCACATCCCTGTGTTCAAACTACAACACTACACAAAAATACACACCTAAATTCTAACACCAGCTATATACACAAATACACAAACATTCAAACAGACTCCATACAAAAACACACCTACATTCACATACAGGCAAACACTTACAATAGAAGGATATGCAAATGGTAAATCTACAACTGAAAAAGCATTGTCAGAGTAGTGCAACACTTGAGATTTACCTTTTTGGTCACCACTGCTCTATGTTCACCTGTACTATATTTCCACCACTGTATTCCAGGTAGATGATACACACACTCTAAGAATCTCTGTCTGCAAACACCATTTTCCATTGTCTGCGTTTGTTACTATTTTATCTGAATGTGTTATGCGATCACTAGCAAATATAAATATGTCCTTGCATCCTCCAGCATAACTTCCCCAGAGCATACTAGGTTTACGTTGTATTTCTATATCAATAGATTTCTTAAGCTACGAGTAAAAACTACAAAGGTAAATACTGCAGTCCAGGTGATTCACTAAAAAACTAATTTTGTCTGGATTGACAAAACCCAGTAAAAAACATAGAATTCTGGCTGACTTCCAACTAGGCTTTTGTTCAGGCCAAATCTTCAGCAATCGTCCTATTTCATACAAAGTATAGGATTCTGAATATTCACAAATCATCAGTTTTTTTTAACTTTGCAACCGAATGCAACCACAATAAAAAAAAGGTTTACAAATAAATTTTAAAAAGCCTATGATGGTCAATAATGTAGCAGATCACATAATTAACTCTCGCAGTGCCAAGGGTTTTTAACTATGTGCCCACTGGCTGCCAGCTGCTCTTTCGAAACCCAGGTCAGATTTCAGGAATTGAAGCCAAAATGAAAGCTAAAATGCAGACCAAATTCAGAACCATTTGCTGCATGAATTACAAACTTGTTAAATAGTGTAAAAAATGCCAGGATTTTGCAGTCCGAATGGCCCCGTATACAGCTGGATCGTTTTGCCCAATTAGGAATTCAAAGTATATTTAATGGAAATTTCATGTTTTAGGCCACAGCAGCCAATCTGGAAATACGGTTATAATTCAGTCCAGTTATTTTAACCTACAATTTGAAATTTGTTTTGGATTCAGTTTGTGTTCTGGACAATTCCATCTTTAGTGAAGGAATCGAAAGTGAATTGTCTAGTGTTTATGTTAAGGATTACATATGTACTTTTGTTGTATGTGCCAGTTTTATATCAGTTGTATATCTGACACACAGATACACACATAGTGTGTGTGTGTATCTGTGTGTCAAGGTATGTATTTGTGTTTGTATGTGCCAGTGTGTATGAATCTGACACACAGATACACACTGGCAGATAGTGGCACACAGATACACACACTGACACAGATACACACACCTTGACACACAGTGCGTATCTGTGTGTGTGTATGTATGTAGGTGTGCGAGTCTGTTTCAAAGTCTGTGTATATGTGTTTGTATGTGTCTGTGTATCAAGGTGTGTGTATCTGTGTTTGTATGTGCCAGTGTGTATGAATATGACACACAGATACACATACTGGCAGATAGTGGCACACAGATACACACACCTTGATACACAGTGTGTATCTGTGTATGTATGTATCTGTGTGTCAAGGTGTGTGTATTTGTGTTTGCATGTGCCGGTGTGTGTCAAGGTGTGTTTATCTGTGTTTGTATGCGCCAGTGTGTGTATCTCTGTGCCAGTGTGTATATGTATCTGACACACATATATATATACACACACTGCTACACAGATACACACTAACACACAGATATACACACCTTGACTCACAAATACACACACACACACATTCACACACTCAGATACACACAGTGATATACACACACTTGCACCCACAGATACACACTGACACACTCAGATACACACACACAGACACATACAAACACACTGATACATACTGGCACATACACACACAGGTAGATGCACACAGTGACACATACACAAACCTTGACACAGATACACACACTGACACACACACTCTTTGATAGACACACACACTCTTTGACATACACTCTCTCTGACAAACACACACACTCTTTGACAGACACACATACACTCTCACTGACAAACACACACACTCTTTGACAGACACACATACACTCTCACTGACAAACACACATACACTCTCACTGACAAACACACACACTCTTTTACAGACACACATACAAACACATATACACTCTCATTGACAAGAACAGATACATTCTCACTGCCAAACACATACACTCACTGACAAGCACACATTCACTCTCACTGACAAACACACAAACACATACAAACTCCCTAACAGACACACATACAATTTTTTTTTTACATTTTACTCCACCCAGCCCCCCTACCTTTAGGAGTGCTGGTATGGAGTCCATGGGGTCCAGTGGGGCTGCTGGCATGAAGTTCCTGTGGTCCAGTGGGGCTGGCTGCAGCTTGGCAGTCGGGAGGTCTGGCAGACAGGTGAGCATTGGAGGCGGGCGGCGAGGGAGCAGTGAGCTCTGATCTCCCTGCTCAACTCCCTCGCGTGCCTCCTAGTGATGCCGGAGCCGGAGTGACGTCATATTCTGGCTCCGGCATCACTGCTGTGCGCGCGAGGGAGCTGAGCAGGGAGATCAGAGCTCACTGCTCTCTTGCCACCCGCGGCCATTTTTTTTTCAAATTTTTTGGCGGAACCCCAATTAGTGTTCCACGGAACACCAATTGGGAAACACTGCTTTAGATAATAATATAGAATAATTGTATAAATAAGATGAATTAAGTAATTTAAATAGTTTATATGCTGATCATTTTACTTTGAATCAGCTGTGGGACATAGCACACAAAACTAAGTCTTTCATTTTGTAGTTGTAGAATTTAGTTCATGATCTAACAGTACTATATTATCAGATTGACCAGACTAGCAACAATTGAATAAATGTAAAATATTAAAACAAAGGAAAAAATGTATACTCCTTAGTGATCGGAGTCAGAGTTGCAGTCCATTTGTAATATGATTATTTGGGGTGAGTCTCTATAGACTAGGGATATTTATAATCTGCAAAACTAATTAAAGGAAGACTCCAAGCACCATGGTGCTCTCCTCCTTAATATAAGATGTCAAACCATTTTAGATTGGATTTATTTCTTACCTGGGGTCTACAGGTGATGATACCTGTCTCCACTACTGCTCAGTAAGAGCTGGAGGCAGTGCAGAGCTAGCATGTTGGTTAATAGCACCAACTGATTGCCCTTGGCCAATGAGCTAACAAGTAATGGAGGCAGGGAGCAGTGGCAGCTGAAACCAGGTAAGAAAGTAAACCTTTCTAAAATGGTTTGACGCCTTACAATGGTGTGGGCTTTGCAGTCCAGATGAAGGAATAGATCCTGCAAGTGGTTACATGGAAGTCATCTTGAAATGTTATCACTTTAGATGTAAATTAAATGAAAGCAATAAATGATACGGAGAATTCTAGAAGAAAGAACAACAGAAAGACTTTTGGCTACCCTTGCCTATCATCACTCCACATTGTGTTCTGTAATGATACATACCAGAGGACTTTGTTATTTAAAGATGTGGATTATTTCCTTTAATAGTACATAAGATGCCTATAATATTTTCCTGCAAAGTACGAATTTGTTCATGAAAAAAATAGATTTGTACTCATCAGAGCAAGGATTCTAACGCTCTATCTGCATTTGGAAGCCATTTCTGACAAACATGACTGAAGCCGGATTGTGAATTTCAGGCCTTAGGCCCTAAGAAGCTAGCAAAACCAATAAACCAAAATGAGAACAAGCAGTCAAGCAGTAGGGCTGTTATCTATTAGTTGCAGTCATTTTTATCTCATTCTTCAGTGGGCACATTGCAACCTGAGAGAAAAAAGAGAGTTTTCTTTTAGTCACATGGTTTAACATTAAAAGCATAATTTAACCCAATGAAAAAAGGATTGCTGACCAGTCGAGGAAGGAAAAATAAATTTAAGTAAATTCAAGTCAGGTTAATATTTTGTGAGAGTATAACTTTGAATATATACTAATACAATGCAGATAGTCAATACAATGTTAAACAACAATATGCACACCAGTCAAGCCATAAGACTTGATTTTCCCACAGAAATCACAAATTTGCAGTGATGTTACTTCCGCAAAGGATTCTGGGTGGGCATATGCAAATTAGTTCAACAAAGAATCACATTATTGCCTCATTCCATTTTAAACCTGGATTCCTTTGAGTCTGTGTTTGCTGTATATAACAGCTTTGAAACAAAACTTAGGAAAAGATGCAAAGCCAGTGAACCACTCATGGACAGCTGTTTCATTGTTAATGCAACTCATCAGCATGAGGTTGGTTACTGGCTTGCTATTGGGGCATGGTAGTACTTGTGAAGCAAATACCAAAAAAGTTATGGTGGGGAAAAATTGTTACAATACACTGCTATATTTATAACATTTTGGTTTATAGAGAGAGAGAGAGAGAACGAGAGAGCAATGAATGGTCAGCACTCTTTGGTCTTCAAAACAAAACTTAGCTTTTTATGTCTATTAGCTAATAGACAAATAACAGTTATACTTTACTTTAAAGCCTCAGGAGAGCTGACCGTTCCTTCCTTGCTGGAGTTTTCTGCTGGTTACAAGCATCAGGCACCTTAAGTTACCTGAATCCATTTGTGCAAGCCTGTAGAACATAAACACATATATAAGTTCTACAGTAATTAGGGAAATTTAATGGAGGCAATGAGTGGCTCCTGCATAACTGACTGTCTGCAGTAAATAGTAGTTTTCTAAAAATATTCCTCATTATTCGTAGTCACAGAAAGTGGGGAAAGACATACCAGCCCAGTGGTCATTTGCCCAATATACCTTATGGTCAGTCTGAGCCTGACAGAAAGCCAAGATGGATGCACTCAGTTTAAGGTAAATACAGTGGTTTGAATTTCCATATTAAATTGGGTTTTTCTCACCTTACAAAACAGCTCTGCTATTCATTGGGCATCAGGAAATATATAACATAAATATAAAAAAATCTGGAAAATGACAGTTCCCCTTTAATGACTTTGGATTTACAAACTAGTTCATATGTAATTCAAATATTTTAGATATTTGACAGCTGATATGCTTATATCTGTCTCAGATTAAGGCTACCAGGTTAACCATATGTAAAAACAATAAGAAGAAAGGCATTTTTTGCTTGAACTTTTATTATTGCAATTACCAATCATTGATTTTTTAAATTGAAATTGTTACATATACAGTTTGTAATGTCCTACACATTCATCTTCGTTTAAATCTTTGAAATAATTTTCGTTTGTGTTTTACTTATGCTGCAAATGTTCAGCTTCAATCGACTTATTGACATTCTCCTATATAGAAATTGATGATACCACTTTGCATTTACATTGCTAGTTGTAATCTCTTTTATATAAATAGATGTTTAAAGTAAATATAATAAAAAAAATATTAAAAATGTACACATGGTTTTTATATAAAAAAAAACATGGTTTATTTATGTATCAATCCAGGATTTATTTTTGAAAGTGTTCACCAGTTCTAAATACAAGCAACTCTGAAAATCATTAAACAGTAGATCATGCCTTTCCTACCCTTCAGACTTTCTCCCCGGCTACTGAACAAGAGGTGGCTGTGCTTCTTCTTTCCTCTTGCCCCACCACTTGCCCGCTCAACCCTGTCCCATCTCACCTTATCAGATCTCTCTCCCCTTGTCTTGTGTCTTCCTTAACACACATCTTCAACTGCTCTCTCTCTTTTGTCGTTGTCTGTGCATTTGGTTTAGATAAACATGCCACTGTGGTACCTACCATGAAAAAAACATCTCTTGACCCATCCTCCCCCTCTAACTAGCATCCCATATCCCTGCTCCCATTTTCCCTTAAAGCTTCTAGAAAGACTTGTCTTTGCCCGTATATCTCACTTCCTCAATGCCAACTCTTTCCTTGACCCTCTTCAATTTGGCTTCCGCCCTCTCCACTCTACTGAGACTGCTCTTATCAAAGTCACTAATGACCTAATCACAGCTAAATCCAAAGGCCACTACTGCGTACTAATTATTCTTGACCTCTCTGCTGCCTTTGACACCGTTGATCATTCTCTCCTTCTTCAAACTCTTTAATCACTAGGTCTCTGTGACTCTGTCCTCTCGTGGTTTTCCTCTTATCTATCCCAATGCTCATTCAGTGTCTCCTTTTCTAATGATACCTCCTCCCCTCATCCTGTCTCAGTTGGAGTCCCCCAAGGCTCTGTCCTTGGTCCTCTTCTATTTTCTCTTTATACTGCCTCTCTTGACAAAATTATTGCCTCTTTTGGATTCCACTACCACCTGTACGCTGATGACACTCAGATATATCTCTCCTCCCCGGATCTCTCCCCTGCTGTCCTGCAACGTGTCACTGCTTGCCTATCTTCCATCTCTGACTGGATGTCCTCCCGCTTTCAGAAACTCAACCTCTCTAAAACTGAGCTCCCTGTCTTTCCTCCTCCAAATAGTGATCCTCCACTTTCACTCTCCCTTCAAGTTAGTGGTAACCACAGAAGTCCATCCTTGCAAGCGCACTGTCTTTGAGCCTCACCTTTGAGCCTCACATCCAGTATGTTGCCAAGTCCTGTAAATTCCATCTTAAAAACATAGCCCACATCCGCCCCTTTCTTACACAAGATGCTACCAAGGAGCTTGTCTATGCTTTAGTAATTTCCTGCATGGATTATTGTAACCCTCTCCTGATTGGTCTTCCCAAAAGCCATACTTCCCCTCTACAGTCTGTAATCAATGCTGCCACCAGACTTATTTTCCTCTCTAGTCGGTCCTCTCATACCTCACGTCCTCTCACACCTCACAACAGTCCTTACGTTGGCTTCCTGTATCCTATAGGAGTCAATTGAAGTGCTAATACATACCTATAAAGCACTGAACAACTCTAGCCCCTCTAATATCTCATCACAGATCCATAGGTATGCCACTTCTCGGTCTCTCCGCTCTGCCCTTCTCCTGTCTGCTGCTCGCACCTGTATGGCCAACTCACGCGTGCGGGACTTCTTGCGGGTGGCTCCCTTCCTATGGAATAGCCTGCCTACTGCCATCAGACTCTCCCCTAGTCTTCAATCATTTAAGAAGTGCCTTAAAACCCATCTCTTTAGGAAAGCTTATGGCCTCCCAGACTAACCTCTACCTCACATACCTCTCTCCTAAAGGGCAGCACTCTACTCTCTCCTCCAGCTCTGCTTCTCTCCCACCTTATTTGATTGCTATTTCCTGTCCTAATGTGTTTTATACCCTACCTCCTATAGACTGCAAGCTTGTTTGTGTGTAGGGTCCTCTTTAACCTATCGTTCCTGTAAGTTTTCTTGTAACTGTCCTATTTATAGTTAAATCACCCCTCTCATAATATTGTAAAGCGCTACAGAATCTGTTGGCGCTATATAAATGGCAATAATAATAATACAGCACTAAATTGTTTATTTTCCCACTACAGACGTGTGCAAGAACGTCCTTCCTAGCACAAATAAACACTATAACTATAATTATACAAGCTTGATCAGATGTACATATGGGCTCTATGCTCTACCCCAATTAAAAATGACCATCTCAACTGCCGGTCTCAAATGCTTGTCCCATTCTTTGTAGCGATGTCACAAAGTGAGATATTTATCAAAGTATCGTGCTCGTAAACTGGAGGAACGATGTGAAAGAGAGCATTGCAGATTGTTTGGTGCTTTGCAACATTTTTCAGAACAGGACACTGTGATTAATAACCTTCTCCCCTTACTGATGTCACTTGCATGCCCTATATATGCCCCCTATCTATCTACCGTCCAATAGTCAGCTGTCATAATGTTGGGTAGTATGTTATACTATATCATTAGGACTGGATTTAGGAGCAGTGGAGATGCATTGTAATACTTTATGAAAGAGGTCCAAGTACTGAGCAGTGTAGTGATGTTGAGCAAATCAATATTTCAGCTTGTTATATCTGAACCATTCAAAACCAAAGTTCTGCTTGGTGGTCTTAAAGGTTTTGCCTCTTGGGAGATACTGTTAGATCCAACAGAACATGGGTGTTTTTCTAGCCTACTTCACTGGTGATGCAATATTGCCTCACTTCAGTTCAAAGCAATACAACAGAACCCTGCACTTTGTGGGAAGTCGCCTTTTATTCCATCAGGGAAATGACAGCATTTCTGATTGATCATTTTCATGTGAATACATGGGTAGAAATAGAGCAACTCACAAAGCCAGGAACTCTCAGTCACAGTGGTAGCTTGAAAAGCACACACCACTATAAAGGCAAATCATCATTTACTCAGATATATATAACACACTCTCGAAAATGATCATAAAAAAAAGATATATTTTTTTACTTGCTCAAAATTGCACCTTTAAATATAATTATAACTAATATTTATATAGCTCCTTTCTCCAAGTGTGACTCAAAGCACTTTTTAGAGCACGCTCTCGGAATTAACCGAATCAGCAGCTGAATAATAATAGATGATATTATTACCCAGTAGATGGTACACATTTATCGACCTTGACAGTGTTGGCATTTGAACATGTGACTTTGTGTTTTTGAACAGGCTCATAAAATGAATGGAATCTTGTGTTCATTGTAATTTAAGTGTGTAGTTGCACATGGCTACAGTCTAATGCACGGAGTACTGAATGTGTCATAACTATCGACCTCACTCATCCTATTTGATCAGAATTATCTTCTTATATACTATCTTTACCTCTAACAAAATTATATCTCTGCGTATTTTGTTTCGGTATTAATGAAAGCCCCATCCTATAATATAATGTACCCTACTACCATCCCGTGAAGTATGG